AAGCAGTGAATGCATGCAAAAGCTAAACTTTTACTATGTCTCAATTTTACAATTAAATTCACAAAACACATGCATTAAAAACTGTAGTGCCTGCTTGATTATAACCACTGCTTGTCATTGAAAATCTTGTGATGTGACTACTGTAGACTTGCACAACAAGGCAATGATGCAAAACAAAATATTGTTAGTCTATTTATAGCAAGAATTTACTTTTTTTTTTTTTTTACAAATCATTTATAATATCTCAAAAACTCACAAAATATATATTTTTTCATATTAATTGTAAATTAGCTTGACAAATACTGAATAACTGACTGATTTCTGTGCTAAATGTTTACACATAAATTACAGCAGGGCTCTACAGTGCAACCATTTTAGTCATATTTGCGACAAAAACTTGTGTGTGCGCGACCAAGAAAAAAATGTTAAGGCGGATGTATGCGACTGACCTGATCGAAAATTTTAAAAACTACAGCTCCCAAATTCCCTTACATATAAGTGACCCATTATGTTTTGAGCCACAACTATTACTTTGGCTCAACAAACTTAATTATAACTGTCAGATGATCTCCGCATAAAACTCCTGATGGAGAACAAAAATCCTGATGGAGAACATTTGGGCTGCTGGTGCTTCTCTTCTGAGATTGAATGGGAGAACACAGCTGTATCTCTTCTCAACAGAAGTGAAGCTCAAGGATCAACACATTTCCCTATGCTCGAGATGACATCTATGATCATTAAGGATTAACCAATTGACGTGATCAGTTAAATGATTTAAAATCTTATTTAAGTCATATTAAACATTTTTCCAGCAAGCTATTTTTAACAGGTTTGCAATGAAATGTCAGGGCTCGAAATTTTGACCATTTTGGTCGCATATGCAGCCGAAATTTTATCTATGCGACCTCAAAATACATTTGGGAGCATTTGTGCGAGTGCATAAAATTGTTGCGTGTGACCAGTTTTTACTGCAAAATGTTTAGCACATGCACGGTTTCGGGAGACATTCACGCAGAATGCGTCTTTGCACTTGAAACGCAGTGCTCAGGAATAGTTTAAAACAGTTGTCATGTCAACTTGCTGCAGTAAACAAAGCCAAGCCCATAATGCTTGCCCGCCTTTGCGTTCTTCCTAATGGCCCACTGCTCTAGAATTGAATGCAAATGGATTGGTTAATGTCAGCTGTCAATCACAATCACTCATTCAATGCCTTCTGGCTTGGGATGACAGGGAGAGCTACTACCCCGAAAAATTGTAAAGCGGTGAAGATAAGAATGAAAATAACACTTGACAGATTTTTTTTAAGAAACCATGGCATCTAAAGTTACAAATAATGACAAATCTTTGAATATGAATATGAATGACACATTTTTGAATATGAAACAACACATATCAGGATATAAAGCACTATTTTATCTTTTATCTTTTATTTTTACTTTTATCTTTGTATTTTTATCATTTTATTTTTGTTAATTAAATTTTTTTTTTGTCTTTATATTAAACTAACAAGCTATAGACAAATTCTTGCTTGACGTTTTAGAAAATATTTGCTTAGCTACCCAGTATATATTAAAGGAGTAATCCACTATGATATCATATTTTAAACTTTAGTTGATGTGTAATGTAGCTGTGTGAACATAAACAACATCTCTGAATGTAAAAAGTTTTAAGTTCAATGCAAAGGGAGACCTTGGTTTTTACAGAGTTAGCTTAGCAAAGCCTACAATGAATGAATTTTGGAGACTATAAAAAAATACTTCCGCCCTCTGTGAGATCACACAGGTTCGTTTACTGCGCACCCACACTGCGCAGCTAAGGGCAGTGGCCTGAGGCGCTGTAACATAATAGCAGAGATAAAGCTAAAAATGCGTCTAAACACGGCTGTTTCCACAGAGCTTCGTCTGTTTCTGTATTTGGGCTTCCAAAGGACACAACACAAAGACAGAAGTGCTTACAGTTTAATATTAATTATGTTCCAGAGAACTATAAAATACACAGCAAGCATTATTTGACAAAACAGCTCCAGAATCTCTCCCAGTTCAGTGCTGGATTCGGCTAAAATTTTCTTAAAGCAGAAGCTGTGAACTACAACCTGTAAGTGTTTTTATTTGTTAAAATTGATCATGACATGTTCTGTGTCTAGCGTTAACAGTAAGCTGTGGCAACAATGTAAAAAATGGGAAATGCTGCTTTGCACCGCAAACGATTTAGCTACAAATTCATATTTATCAGTCAAACTGCAGTAAACACACACACACACACTCCACCAGCACGTTCGTGTCTCTATGTGTGTGCGCGACTTCTCTATGTGCGTTTCACATCTCAGATAATAAAGTCGCAAAAGATATGTGGATGTTTCATATTACTTACACCTGCATATTCGGGATATATGTAAAAGAGAGAATAAAGAGATTTGGAGAGGGATTATTAAGTAAAGCTGGCATCAGATGATTTAGTTTTGTCTGCATCAGACCTACAGGAAAATATCAGGCTATATTTTAATAAAGTAATATATTCAATAAAAAGCTGATTATTTTACCAACAATGTCAATAGAAGCCTATTGCAGAATTCAAAGAAAAATCTTAATTTTAAAAATGAAAGGACAATATCACAACGAATGCTCAAAGAATGCTTAAACCGCAAGCTTGTTTTTAGTACGATTGTGCCATCTGTCATGTGTAGCCTACCTATAGGTCTGTTATTTTTTACTAAAGAAGATTATTATATTATTTGAGTTTAGCACCAGAGCTATAAAAACTACTCATTTCGGCTAATTTTGCCAACAGACAACCACCGCTCGTCAACCAAATATTAACCGTTAACAGATTAATATTAAAATAATATTTATTTTTAAAAAAAATACGTGCCTATTTTGTGACGCATTAAATATTGCATTTTAAAATACTAAATTATTTTAGCGTGCAAACAGCATACAGAACAGAGCATATTCACACACCTGCATTTCAGCAGCAAAACAAAAAAAGAATAAATAAAATAAATCCTGGTCTAGATCTTTTTCAATTAAATTACTCATTTATATTGCAAAACGAGAACACTGACTGAATCCTTTTTAAGAACCGGCATATTCTGTTTGTCCAATCATGTTTTTTTCTTTCTTTAAATAAAAATATTAGGGTACCTCAAATAGATCGCTCCACAGAAAATATGCATTTAATTAAGACTCTGCTGTTAGTTTTAAATGACAAAACCTCTGTAAACATTTTTATTAGAAGTCATTAGTTTAAAGATTATGTCTCAATTATGATTATGACTTATTTCCTGTCTCACTGGCGTTTCACTTGTTCAAGCGCTGCCTGTAATGAAAGACAATGACAATGAACCTTAAGGTTCTATGTTGACTTTTTGTAAAGTATTGGCTACTACATAGCATATAACAATTTTGTTGTTTACATATGATATTGCATTAATTTGCTTACATGTTTTTTAAGCGGTAAAATGAAAGCCTCAGTTTGGTGCAAAGTTCATATGCAAACATCAAGAAAAACTATGGATTTGTTTGATGATAGATTAGGCATGTAGGCTATTTAAAATGTTATATTATATAAGAACTATTAATACCTGTAATTTTCCAAATGGAAAAAAAGGTTGGTTTGTTGGTTGAACACTAAATCATCGTATTTATTAAGTTTATGACGCGGCACCATGCAGCACAGAGGAGATCAGCATCAGAGTTGGTTTGTCAAACTGTGACCAGAAATATCCTTATTTCATTTTGCTTCTTTGACAACATACATCTAGGCACGTGTGGTTGCACGTCACTGTTCTGCACGCGCTTTTCAATTCCAAAAGCGGAGGCGCACCACACTGATTTATTGATGACAAGAAAAAAAGGAGTTCGGTACTCCTGTTTTATGCCACTAGGAAACGACGGAATCAACTGAGCTGTATTGTGCATAAGTTTTCCTGTCAGTGTTGTTAAAATTGCAATTTTTAATAGCATTATGATATTCAAGCTTAAAGTCATACAGCTTTGAATGACTTGAAACAGTCACAAGTCTCTCCTCCATCACTAAAAGTTCGCCGTAATTTTCTTGACAACACAAACACTGCTTTCACCTCAAAGAAAACCCAGCCCCTGCTTTCATTTGATTGAAGAAAGAAGAAGAGCGACTGAGGTAACACGTTTTTTCCACTCGAGCGCACATAGCGCGCAACAGCAAAACGTTGGTAAACCATTCAGGAGATGCACATGTCAGTCTCAATGCAAAAAGCATGTTTGCTGTGATTGGCCCCTTATGCAGCCAAACTTTGAAAACATAAAAAAAAACAATATTTTTAATTGTTTAACTGGTACCATTAATCGGATACAAACGCAATGGTTAATCTGTTATTTTAAGCATCCTTACTTGCATCCCTACTGCGCACAGTATCTGGATCGGTTACAAAAAATGGTATGGGTGCAGTCCTAATAAGTATGATTTATTTCTCTTTTGGGAAACGATTTACACATTTTATTCAATGTGTAAAAGCTTAAAGATTTATTTTGATTTGAGAATTTTTTCTGCATGTCTTTTTTTATCTTCATTTTATTATAAAACATTTAAATGTTTAAAATCTGATTTGCCTTAATAAACTATTCCATGTTAACACTCAAAGGCTTTATTGTAATTTTTTTCTCAATGAACAGACAATTTACTTAACTAATAACACAAAACATAAAGCATGTATAGCTCTGGGCTCAGAAGGTTCTCAAAATATAATTTTATCCTACATATTTCAAAGGAAAACAAAGGTTTAGGTTTAGGCTGGTTGCTAAATGCACAGCTTCTCTATAAAAAGGTGAAAAAACACCTGCAAATTCTGACAAGGATCAAACCTTAGGCAGGTAAGGAAAAGTAAGGTGACACGTTACTTTCCATAAAAAGTAACTAATTAACATACTTACTTTTTATGGGGAGTAACTTATATTGTAAAGCACTACATTCAAACGTAACGTTCCCCAACACTGTTTTCAACTAAAGACATATACCATACATACCTTATCACCAAGAGCTTTTCTTTCTTTTTTCTTCAGTTCCATTCTTTTCTGAAAGACATAAATGACAGCTTTACAAACATAACATGATCTGAAAAATGTTTGACAAGTGACAGAGCTGTGAACTTTGATGTTTTAAAGCTGTGTCAACCCTAGGTGAGCTACTAAGTTATACGTACAAAAAAGTAGTGTTTGGTCTTGAGCATAGAGGTGAGCATTTCTTCCCATATAATATTGAGGTAATGTATGTATTTATTCACATATTCGAACTTTCTCTTTGACAATATAATTTCTGAAAAGTATTATTTGCAAATTATAAATAGTTAAATCATATTAGCAGCCAATGAATAACAAAATAAAACATTCTTTATAGTGCTAATGTTGTTTTGAAGTCACTAGTGGTTTTATAGTCACACATTCATTCAGTGACAACTTGTGACAAGTTCCTTATATTGTTCATAGTGCTAATGTTTCGAAGGCATATTTACATGTGATTTCTGACCGAATATTCAAAGTAACGTTAACGTTACCATGGTAAACAGCATAGGGAAAATGTTCAACTGCCGAATAGTCAAGTGTCTTGCAAGTTAGCTAGAATTTAAAACACAGCCAATATGTAGGTTTTCACCTTTCTTTTCTCCTCTTTGAGTTTAAGGAACATCGTATGTCTGCGCTGCTTATTTTTGATCTCAGACACGCTGAAAGTGGGAGGAAAACACGGTCCTGAAGCTGACTTTTCTTCTTTTACTTCACACTCCGCCTGGTCCATCTCTTCCACTGGCGCTTTAACGGCTTTCATCGTTCGCTTTAGTTTCTTTGTTTTGCTCTTTTTTTTAGAAACATGTCCCGAAGATGTTGAATCTGTACAATCCATTTTCAGCTGCCACTGTCTTCACACACATGTGACAGAATCTTCACTTCCGGTACAAATGGGGATTCTTCTTTGATGTTTAACGGAGGTTGTCATCAAACTTGGTGTACTACCGCCCTCTTCTGTACTGGAGTCGGAGTGCGGACCAGATTCTATATGGGGCGTCTGCAGACTTGGATCCAGGCAGTTTTACCCTAAAATCACGCATATGGGGCGTCTGCAGACTTAAATCCAGGCAGTTTTACGACGAAGGCAGTTTTACGTCCACAGCTTTACGCCCCTGTTGTTCCTAATGCGTTCAGTAGGGGGGATGAAAGATACATGACCACATAATACATTTGAAGTCAACGCTCCCAGATTATAAAATGTCCTGTTAATAAATATATATAATTTTAATTAGATTACGCTAAATATGAACGCTAGATTATGTATTATAAAATGAGTTACAAACTCACTATAAAATATGCAGAATTGATACACTCACCAAATAATTCCAGATTTGCAAAAGCTATTGCAAATTAATTTAGATTAATTTAATTAAAAAAATTAAAAACACAAGTTGTTGGATACTGTAATGGTTAATTGTAGCCTAGCTATACGTTTTCATATAGAGATATGCATTTGTTGTATTGTTTATATTTAAATTTGCATTTTGAAAATAACAAAATGATAACCAAACAATATAGTGTAATATGGAGTAATGATATGCTTTGATAAGAATGCAGAGGTATTGTTACAATAAATATTATGAAAAAATAAGGGATAAACAATATGATTGCATGTGCAATGCAAACTTCATTGGTAATATATAAAATGTACTGTATCGCTATATGAACAAAAATGAGTAGACCATTTATAATTGTGAGTTTCTATATGCATTTATAGATATATGAGTTTAATTGTTTAAACTAGAACAGGATTGTATTATATTGATTGTAATTGAAAGCAATGCAATTTTAAAATTTAAAATAAAATCAAATAAATTTTCAGATCTGTTTAGATTTATTTCAATATTTAAGAAAGTCAAATTTGGAGGAATAATGTAGTGTAGTTGAAGTGTAGATTTGGCTGACAACCCAGACCATGCAAGTGTATTGTCTAATCTATGAGAAAATATATATTTTTAAATAATTATAAAATATATAATAATTACTTCCTTGCTGAGACAAAAAAGTAAAAGAAAATTAGCCTACATAACACACTTTCTTATGTAGGTTAATGTTCTTTTACTCTTTTGTTGATGTAGAACATGTAGCTGGCCTGCACATTAGCTCAAATTGAGTCAAACTAACACACTGCTGTTATACTACACCAATTTGTTTGTGTTGACATACACTCATATCGACCTTAATCTAATAAAAAAATAGGTTTAAGTTTTATGTTTGCTAATGTTTTAAACACGTATTTAACATAGATACCTCCTCATGGTGTCGCGTTTGGTTGGGTGTGATAAAGTTCTGGAGGCTTAAAATAATACTGTACTGCCTCCCTCTACTGGACACAACAGGAACAACAGGGGCGTAAAACTGCCTGGGCCGTAAAACTGCTTAGGCCGTAGATCTGTCTGGATCAGTAATAGGAGTTACTCTGTGTTTGGTTTATAGTCCAAGATAATCCTCTCTGTTTGGTAGTTTATCAAAAATTGAGTGTTGCGACAGTTTTGTAAATAGTCTCTGCCAACAAGGCGGGCTATTTACACTTATAGTGCAAATAGCCACTCCATATTAATTTTGTTTATAAGTATTCACTAAAAAGCAAATTTAACTAGGATTGAACATGGTTTTATTCATAACCGAGCAGGTTTCATTTAACAGCTAAAATGGTCTAAAAGCAAGATGTAATTTGCACTCAGATCAGTCAGATGTCAAAAACTGATAAATGTCCTCAAGAAAAATGCAATAGAAACTTCCAACTTTGGATAAGAGATGCAGGGCAATAAAAAAAAACAGGCTGAGAAAATAATATTTGAGAATTTCATTTAATAGAGTTTGTTGGTAAACCAAGAATGAGGACCTGTTTATTTTTACATTACCTTTTGTCCAAAAAACTGCAGTTATTTGGAGTCTTCATGCAGACATACAAACAAGGTGCAGACTTCATCTTATTAATACTCTAAAACTGAACTGCTAACTTAAAGACATTTTTGCAAGTTTTATGTTGAAAGTGAGTTTAGAAGATCAAGCACCATAAGTCAAAGCCATGATAGGGAGGAAAGACACCTTTCAGGGTAAATGTTAGACTTATAATGATCTCCAGAAAAACTACCACATATCAGAAGATAAATTCTTTTGACAGTAGTATTAACAAAAATTGTGGGTCCCTGCATTTCTATTTTTTGACCATTTTAGCAGCAAATTAATCTTGAATGCACAAATATGCAAGGCAATTTTACTACCTTTTAAACAAAATTCATCACTTAATAATGATAATAAGCTAAAATAATAGTCGTAATGAAAATGTATGCATTTTGAAATTGGTAAAAACAATTTTTTAGAATTTCGTCTTGGGAATTATAATTATGTCTGCACTATATCATTATTTTTAGGCTATAAATTTCTAATTGTATTGTGGCCGTAAGGGTTTTTATGTTGTGTTGCTTTGAGCTGTTTATTTCACATGCTATAGTGCACTGAATACATCTCCAGCATTAGGCCTGAATAAACGATTCAAGTGACGATGGCTTATGTTTTGATCCTTTTGATAAAGTATTTTGTTTGAAATGGTCAAGGAAAAAAATACAAACAAAAAGTCTGCGTCTCTCTGTGTCGTTCAGGCTGCACTGCAGTGTCTATTCACAGGCGCGATCCCACTACTGATCGGCACGGGGGCTTTGACCTGCTCCGTCTCCGACCTGGGCCGATTCACCCCTCCTTAGACGACCTGGTGGTCCCAAGCAGGCCCGGATTAAGAACTCAGGGGCCCCTGGGCACATTATCTTGTAAGGCCCCCTACCTGGCCGCACCCCTATAGTTGAATTTAAAAAATAAGAATAATATAATAATTTTTTAATAAAATGAATCTATAATTTGTTGCCCACATATTTAAATAAATGATATATAGTACATATGTATTTATAGTCTGCAAAGATTTAAATTATTTTTCAAAGCATTAAATAAAAATACTAATAAAACTACATATATATATATATATATAATTTTTTTTTTTTTTTTTTAAGGGTATTTTTGTGTATTGCTTTTACAAACTTATAAAGCATATTATTGCCATGGCATATAACGCACAATGCTTCTCCAATCCAGTTCTATGAATCTGAGTTCTATGAATCTGAGTCTTTCATAATACAAACACCAATTTACTGTCTCTCTCCTCCTCTCCCTGTTTTTTCTCTACTCTTCTCGTGATGAAGACTTGATTATAAACTTAAAAGTATCCGAAATCACAGACACTATACCTCTTCTCTTCCCTCTCTCTCCTCTTCTGGGCCTTTCTCTCTCTCTCCCTCTCTCTCTCCCTTTCTGTCTGTCTCTCACACGATGAATCCAGTCCGCGCTGCGCTGCCGTTAGCCTCCTTCGCCTGGTTAATGCTAGCTTCTCATCATTTAAAGTTAGCATAACGTCTTCTTCTATACCCTCATTCTCCTGATTATGGGTCTGTTTAAAGATGGTGTGTATGGAAAATGCCTCAATAAAGATGCCTCCTCTCCTCTTTCTCTCGCGTTTGCTAAATCCACTTGTCCACTCATTTTTGATCTATGACAGATATAACGTTACACTAAAGTCCGCTCAGTTTAGTGCGGGTTATTACAAAACTGACGTTTCCGCGCTTGACCAATTACAGCATTCTGTTTAGTTAAAGAAAGAAAGGCAATTTAAATATAATAATAATATTAATATTTGATCGCGATTTTTTTGCTCAGAGGAAATACAGTTGTCTGAGCAATAGAGTTTTTGAAGAGAGGGAGGCGCGGCAGGCGCCTATAATAAGGCTAAACATTATTAAATACCCACGAGACACTTGTGACTTTATATCACATTTGCATTATTTAAAAAAAATGTTTCTTTCCTGTTAAAAATAAATATATTTCCAATCTGATATGTAATGGGGAGAAAAAAAAGTAGCACGAGTTCAATTGATGGTGGATTCGAACCGATGTTATGATTAATCGCGTCAAAAGATGATGCTGTGTGCCTTACAAGGTGCGCCACTGCGGCTGTATTATTTCACCGCTCCTTACTCATCTTGTCTCTATCAATCAGGCATCGATGGGCGTAAACCCTGAAGAGCTTAGTCCAACTAGATGCGCTATTTGCAATTAGCCTAAAAAGACATTCCGAAATTGTCTTTTTTTCTCCCCCCTCGCAGGGGCCCCTAGTGCGCACGGGCCCCTGGGCCTGCGCCCATAAGGCCCATTGGTTAATCCGGCCCTGGTCCCAAGCTCCCCCGGGAGCACCATATCGATACCGAACTTAGTGTGGACACCCAATCGACATAGTCCACTGCAGCCCAGAAGCCCTGAGCTCAAGCGATCCGCAGACTCAGCCTCCCAGTAGCTTGGATTACAGGTTAACGCCACTGAACCCGGCGAGAGCAGAGAGATTCAGAGCTGTGGAGAATCTGATCATCACAGCGACCTCTAGTGGAGGAAAACTGAATGCTACTGTTATGCTTATAGTCCAAGATAATCCTCTCTTTGATAGTTTATCAAAAGTTAAGTGGTAAATAAATTAGTCGTTATATCAAACAGATTAAACAATAAGCATAACACACTAAATCAAGTGATTAAACAACCGCTTAAACCCTCTCAATTTCCATCAGATAAATACTATTGAATATTGTTTGATGATGTTCACTCATTTAAGGACACATATTCACTAAACAATGATTAATTTTGCATTTGAATAAAGGTTTGAAAATGATTATGTAAAATAGCCTAATGATATGTACTTTACATTTTTGAAACACTGTAATTAAAAACATTGTTTTATATTTAACAGACAAAGAATAAAGAACATAATACATTTTATTATAATAAAACACAGTGTATGCATAATTATTAAGCCCATTTTATGATCATAATTACTCTTGTATTTGATTAGT